TCCCGCCGATCGATAAACTCGATCAACAAATTAAACGAAACCACGGTGGAAGAAAAACAAAAAAAAAAAAAGGGAAAAGAAGAAAAAAAAGGAAAGATAACTATTCAGAATAAAATCACCCTTGACAAAAGATCCTTTTACATCGCAGGAAACACATTTCACGGGACAAAAGAAGTCTCAAGCTTCCGTCGAGTGTATCCGCTTTAATTTTAATTTAAGACTCAAAAGAAGGAGTGTCGCTTAAATGAAGCGACGCCGTCGCCGCGATCGACATCCCGTTTTACATGCCGGAAAACTTTTTGCCGCGGCCAGGGGCAAAGGATGACGCTGTGCCGCCGTGGACCGAGTAAAAAAGAGAGAGAGAGAGAGAGAGTGAGTAGAACGGGGACGGAGAGCAAAAATTGTCCCGGATCCCGATTAATTTGTATCCCTGTTCCCCGGGAAAGCACGACGTCGGGCCTGCGCGCGTAGCTGAATAAAACATCGGCCGGATCCAACGGGTAACTAAATTTTAAGCAATGGCGCGGCACCAGCACCAGCAGCGACCTTTTTCAAAGTTCAACGACACACAGCAGGCTGCCGGTCGCGCGACTTGTAGCTTTCTGTTGGGAATCTGGCATAAAAATTGTAAATCGTCGAGATATGTATATATATACATATATACATATAGACGAGAAGGGACGACTCTCTCGTCGATACCGGTGGGAATAATCGTGCATTACGATCGAATCTCGAAACTTCTTCCGTGTACCTGTGACTTTATCCTGAGAAAGAAGAGGATAGTTGAATCTGTTGTAAAGAAACGAGGAACCGAAGAATCGATCGTTCAAGTCCCTCGAAAGGCAACCAAAGAGAGAAAGAGTTTCCTAAGGGCGAAGAGATGTGCTCGATGGAAACGTTAAGAGGGTCAAGCCATGAAGAAGCCACACAGCGATGCACCCGTCGTCGTTGACTTCTTCATTAATGGTAATGATCGCGTCCTGAAAGTCTTGGGGAACTCGCGAAAGGAAACATCGCGATTTGTATTCAGGACGCGATATGGCGTTGCTACGTAGCAAGGAGAGAGAGAGAGAACCCGGGGTACGGAGCCAAGCTGGGGCGGTGGGTGGATTCGCGAAATAAACTCCTGAATAAGTGGAAGAGAGGGAGAGAAAAGGAAACGAAGAGTGAGAAGAGGGTAGAGACTCTTGCGCTCCAGTTCGGCTTCCGACAATAAAAGTGAGCTAAGACCACGCACACGCTGACACAGTCGAGTCGTTCGATTCGTGAACATGCACGAAAGGCTGTTTGGTTGCTCTTGTCTAGGTAGGAACGCGTGTGCACCACTCGAGGATGCCCTTTTTCACGAGACTTTATTTGGCGACGTCGCTCCCTCTTCGCCGTCTCATTGCTCGCAATAATCGAACGAAATCGAGAACGAATGATAATTTCCACGGGGATGTCACAGAATGGAGTGGATGGCAGTCACAGAAGCCGTATCAGAAACGCATAACTGTAACGTTCTCGATGTTACCCATCGCTATCGAACGACGGGTACTATTGTTATCGATTACGATGAACGATGATAGTCGGTTCTACGCTGGCTGGAGAGAGAGAGGTGGGAAACACAGGGTGAAAATAAAGGGTGGCCCACCCTCTACAGGTCAATTTACAGTGTCGCGATATTCTGAGAGTGTCGAAACTCTCCGGTCGTTTTCGCGAAAACTGATCTACTCGATTGAAAATGAAACTTTGTTCGCGTAGAGAGAAAAAAAAAAACATCGTCATTTGTTAATATCCAGGAAAAGTTCTAACTAACCTGGATTCGTTGTGCATAAAAAAAAAGCGCCAGGGAAACAATTACAACAAAGGTATTGTAAAATAAAAGCGACGAAAATGGCTTTAAAGTTGGCGAAATTTTGTCGGGCAACCGAATTTAAATTCATTACAAAGTGTTGAAAATTCACAACACCGAAACGATTCAAAAATGGAAAATGTGTATCTTTGTACTGTGTCTGCTTCTGTTTCACTTTTTTCTTTTTTTTTTCGTTACGTTTTTGCTTTGAAAGAAATTAATTAACGCCAGAAATTGTGTAAAAAAAATGTTCGTCCCCTAAAATCAGAATTATCCTTGAAAGTTCGTCGAACGAATTAATTCACCCTTTTCTAGACTTCCGGTTTAATTCTACGACAAACGCAAGCCTGCAATTTTTACATCCAACCTAGCATTCCCCGCTATTATCGATCACAATGAACGATGACTGTCGTTTCTCTCGAGAAGAACGGGGCGTAAAAACGAAGAGAAAGAGGGAAACTCTCTATGGGTCAATTTAAACGCGCCTGGAAGATGCGAGCACGGACGCACCGGAATAATATCAGGTCCCGCGTGCAGAGGGGTTGTTTAACAGTGGGTCTCTCTTTTCAAAGGCGGCACGCTAGAAAAAATTATACACACACGCGCGTGTGTGCATACACTCGTGGCTTGTTTTAAATGAAACCTCTTAAAGCACACGTCGGGGAGAGAGGAGGGGGGGGAGTAATTAAATAAAATATGGAAACACGTGGGCGGCGTCCTCTCTTTTCTTTTTTTCCCTCTCTTCCCTTTTTGTCGCGGATGGATCTTTTTCACAGAGAAGGAGGGGGATGGGCACTCTGTGTTCCACCTGTATTGTGCTTCATCGCCGTTGTGTGAGCGAGCGTAAATACGCGCGCCGCGTTGCGGAGACCGTTTTCCACTTGCTCGAGATAACCGCGGCGCGCGTTCAACTCTTGAGCAAACGTACTTAGGTGGTTCGCGCTGCTAAAGGCAGACTCTCGGGTTGCCTCTCGTTGATGCCTTTCTTCCTTCCTTCTCGCCCTCCCCTACCCCCCTTCAGCGGGGGTAAATGTAATTAAAAATGCTCGCTCGGTTAATTTCCAAACGTGTGTCTGCGAAACCGCGTTATCACCGAAAAATTTTCGTTAATGGCGAGTACACACGGCGCTCTGTCGAGACGTTGGGAACTTCTTAGGGGCATTAATCGTTTGGGAGGAGGAAAACGGTCGAGGAGGAAGAACGGAGGATTGTTACGAGCTTGTTAAAGCCTGGATTGCCGACAGACAGTAAAAGTGCGAGGATCAAAGTGGTAAATGACACTTGAACCAGAAGCTTGTCACAGAGAAAGAGAGAGAGAGGAGAAGAGCTATTTATTTCTGGACGGTTGAAACAGAAAATATAACGCGAGAATAGTAGACGTTATTTTGAGTGAACCACGCGAACTCTTCCTACGGAACTGTATAAACGTATAGAACAACGTGGATTTTCGGGGATTTTTCGAAAATCAAAAAGAACAACGGAAGTGATAGCGATTCGTTACGGGAGGCAAAAACGAGACGCTGGTCATCACCTCGATGGTTCATGCCCTCTCACGGGATTAGTCAAATCCCAAAATAATACCGTGGGCGAGCGGAGTTTGCATATACCGTGGTACAAATCTCCACGACGATGTAAATCGGACCGGTTAAGCTGTTTGCACATAAATCGGGCCCGTATAGTCTGTCAAGTATTCGCGTCACTAGTGATTTATACTGTAACACTATTTTAGGATGTGTCGTCGGGGAAGAAACTGTATCGAAAATCCGGATGAAATATCACAAAAATACTCGACTTTTCTACGTACGACAGTCGATCGGCTACCCAGTTTTCACGAAGAAACGCCTCTGATAATTTTCGACGATATCAGATAGTAATATTCACGGACGAGAAAACGGTTGAAAGACGCGCGCGTATTTCTCTGTTTTGATTGTCGGACAGCGGGGCGCGCAGACAGCGAGAGTGGACTTGAAAATAACCCACGGCAGGAGAAGGCCCGTCTATTAATAGTGAACCGGCGAGTATCTTTGTCGTGCGTGTTCGCCAGCGTCCCCGTGGCGGTTTCTCTCGCGGAGATTCGTCAGTCGATTTACCGTTCCGCGATACATTCTTCGCACGTACACGCCGGGGAAACGCGTAACTCGATCGGAACACGATGTTCCGCGGAAGTTTGCGCCTGTACCCGGCAACCATCGTTGTCTACTGAATTCTATCCCGTTCCTCCCTCCCGCCGCCGCTTTGTTGTCGTCATCGTCATCGTCGTATTCGTCGAAACGTCGCGAAACTATAATTACCAACGAATAGACAGCGGAACTAAAGGAGGAGAGACACATACAGGTTGGTTTAACAGGAGGTGAAGAAGAAGATTGTTAGAGTAGTTAGTAGCGGGGCCCGGATGCACGGTGAAATACCGTGTGAGATTCTTCCAAGGTTCCACGAGTTCTTCACTTTCTCTACCTATACGACGAACTGGAAGGAAGTTAAAAGCACGATTCGAGTGAGAATCTAAATAAAGAACTATGCAGAGACGTGGATGAGCAGTGGGGCGGAGCTGGCTGCCGCGGGGAATATGTGGTGAGTAAGAATGGTACAGCGAGCCGCATGCAGCATCGAGGCGAACACATTCCCCAATGGCGTACGGATCAGCGACCGGGAAGGAAGAACGTCGGACGTTGTCGCGACGGAAACGTCCGTAGACCATCTAGGACGCGGGAACGCGAGATTTTCATTGTTCAAGTGGTTCAAACGTGGCTCCGGTAATCGGGAATCTACGGTGGATAAACGTCGGAAAACGAACAACGACAAGTACAGAGAGAACGATGACGAACGTCAGAAGAGTGTCTCGTCGAGCGTGGAAAGTGTAGACACGGTTTACAGTACAACTACCGTGCGTAGTTTCGCCTTTCACACTGGCACCCTGGGCAGATGCAATGGATTGTCGCTAGACATCCTCGAACAAGCAGCCGAAGTTGGCCCGTTCGCGGCTGGAGCCTCGAAAGTTACAGTTGGCAACAAAGAGAACGAATTGGCGGATGTTGCCTCTACTCTACCAACGAACGCGCACTCCTACAGACGAGACATAACCGCTAGATACTCGTTACAACCTACCGCTACGTTCAACTCCTGCGGAAATCTTCCGCTGCCCGACCGAAGGATATTAGAATCGTTGAAGAGATTGGACGATCGAAAGGCGCATTACAACGTGAACTCGACGCGCAGGAGGGTGCACGTGAAGGGTAAGAGAAAAGCGCCGAATCCTCCAGTGACGTCGAGTAAAATATCGGAGGTAGATGCACGCGAAACACCGAGGCACAGTTGCAGGCGTAAGCGACCCGCGCCTAAACCGCCGGAGAAGAACACAGAGAGTAGTTCGTCCGCGAAAAAGTGCGAGACTCCGGTTACCGCAGATGGCGGAATGGACGTAGAAACGCGGACGGATTCCGAGGACGTGCAGACTCTCAGCAACGACACGCTTGTACTTCAGGGCGGTGTTCTGCTGCCGAAAAGGGAGATTAAACAGAAGTCGAGGGAGACGAGTGTCGGTTCGTCTGACATCGCCGTTCTGCCGGATAGCACTAGCACGGCCGGTAACGTGGCCACGCTGAGCACAGCCATGCCACGACCTTGGTACAAACGAAGCGTCTTCGAACATTCTCGGGATTCCGGGCCGTCCAGGCGTGGCGATGTTCTCCGAGGGCCTGCAACGTCGACCATCGAAATAAAAGAAGAATGCGCCGCGACGAACACGGCCGCCTCTTCCGCCAGCTACTCCATGGACGCCTCTTTGTCCAGGCTGAGCTTTTTCCATCGCGGAGGACAGTCGGAGGATAGAAAGAGGGAGGCTAAACGAAAGTCCGGCCTGTCGATCTTGACGAACATCAGCGAGCTCGACAAGGAAGCCGCGGCTATCGTTCAAGAGGAACAAGCTAGAGCCAGAGCCTCGATGCTCCTCAAATCATCGAGATACGTGGACGCTTTCGAGAAGAGGAGCGAGATGAACGAAGAACTGGTACAGGACATCGTGACGTCGGCGATGGAAAGTTCGTCGCCCAGACGAGGCACGCGAGCGCTCATCTCCAAGTTCAACGCCATCAGCAACATCACCAAGGTCACGGTGAACGCCAACTTCTTCGCGAGGAACGCCAGGGATCAGCAACCTACGAAATTCGAGAGGGACGTGGTGAGAAACGCGAGACCCTTCGAGCATCCTAACGAATGGAAGGAGCATCCGAGATTTCCGGTTCAGTCTAATTCTGGACAAGCCGGCAACATCGACAAGGATATTTCCAGATACTTTCCTCCTCAGCCGAAGGCTAATAGGAACAAGTTAGAGAACACCGAGATGGGTGCGAAAATTTGTGGAACCAAGATAACCAAGGAACAGAACGATAGATTGGCGAGTGAAACTTCGAACAGAATATCTTTCTTACAGAGTCAATTAGTTGCTAATCGGATGAACGACAAGACTCCTCAGAGGGACAGTGCAACATCTCTGATAGAGGAAAAAATGAAACCGAGACAGGAAGTTGCTAACGAGAGGAAAGAAAGGGAGACAAAGGCGGGCAACGAAGATCCACGGGGATACAAGTTTGGGGACGCGAAGGAACGCAGAGCGTCGAATATCTTCGAGGAGCCGAGAAAACTAGACAAGCAACAATTCGAGGGTGTGCAGAAGGAGTTCTCGGACATATTCGACGAGATCGACAAGCAGCTACGTATGAAGGAGCTGAAGCTGATCGATCGTCGAGGAGGCCGCACCGGGAGGAGCACGCCAGCCACTAATCAGAGAGGTAAAGTTCACGAGGAGGAAGCTGGAATATCAAGTAAGGTGACTAAAGTGCTCGATATCCTGGTGGAGGCGGAGAAAGACGCGAAGACAAAGAACGTGGCACAGTTGGAAAAGTCGATACCCGTCGAGGAGGCTTCACGTTCCAACGATCGAAACGCGAACGCGAAATCATCGAGCAAGACCAGATCGCCGTTATTGAACACCGTCGAGGATCCAATCACAACGGATTTAAAGGAGATGTTGAAGGAAATGAAACACTCGTTACCAAAGCGCTCCAAGCCTGGCAAGATTGTGACACGTAACACCGACGTGACAGAGAAACCGGCAACGGAGAAGGAAACAACCGGCGCGCCGACGAGCAAGACTACGTATTTCGTTTCCGCGGTGACGAAAGTCGAGAATATCGCGCTGCAGAACGACTACGAGCTGGACAAACAGAAGGTGTCGTGTTCGGTGCAGACCAGTGGAAATATACGGAGATTGAATCAACCCTCCACGTCCGCGGAGCAACCGTCTACGTCTGGATGGAAGCAGGAGAACGTTCTTTACAAAACGTCCGGAAAGAATCTGGGTGGTAGCGGATTGGTGAAGAACACGTTCCAATTGATACGACCGCGAGACTTTGCCGAAATCGAAGCGACGAAAACGACTAAGACTGCACACCGCGAGAACACTTACGCTAACGTGATCGAGCAATCGATCTACGCAAACGCTCATGTTCCTCCTTCGCCTAAGCAACGTAGCGCTAATTCACCGAGGAATAACGTGAGAAATATTAGCAACGAAAAACCTAGTACACCGCCGAGAATCGAGAAGAAGTTGCCTGTGAACGAAGACACGTTCGAGGGTAGCGAAGAAGGTAACGATTAATTGCGAGAGACACTTCTCCTCTGTGAATCATCCCGTCTAAATTTATATTAGTTAATGTCACGCGTTTTTCCCTATTACCCGTGTTTTAACGTTTCGCGCTGTTTGTTTGTCACAGATGACAATTCAACGGAGAAGAACATGAACACACTGGCCATAAACCGATTACTCAGAAAGTTAGAAGCGGCAATTGCATCTGGTCACCATCAACAAGCAGCGGGTTTGGCAAAGGAGCTAGCACGGCTTAAGATCCATTGTTCCGTGATTCGACAACGATCAGCTCGTCTCAAAGATCAGTTGATTAAAGTCAATATGTACATTGAGGACAAGCTTGCTCACCAGGGACCGATACCACTTCAGGTAAATAGCGCCAGCTACTCAAATCAACGTAGCCTAGGTTTGCCGTTCCATATCGCGATATTAGATGCTGTACTAAGCTAAAATATAATAACAGCTGCCGAGTAGGATGACGGTGGCTGAGCTGAAGACGAAGATACACACGGAATTCGAGATACCGACGAACGTGCAACGGTGGATCATTGGGAAGAATTTGGCGGATCGCGACGAGGTGACACTCAACGAATTACAGGCTGTCGACGGATCTCCTGTATTTTTGTATCTCGTTGCACCAGGTGAACGAAAAAATATTCGATAAATTTATTTATCGAGACTGTTGACATCGTGTAAATTTGGGTAATTTAAATTTAAACAGCGCAGTATGAAAGTTGAATTTCGTTGCAGAATTAAGGCCTGAAAGTGTGATACGAGTGGAGAAAACTAACGAGACAGAGGAAGTGGCAAATGTGATAAACGATGATACGAGTGCGCCGACGGAAGTACTGCAGATCGTTGAGGAGAATCGTGAAGTAGTCGAAGGACCTCAGGTATCGAATAATTTATTTATCTATCTTTCGACGAATACACTTTTCTAACGAATTTCGAGGAAATAGGAGACAGAGGAGAGGAACACACCAGAGGAGGTGAAAATGGACAGGTACGAGGAATTAATTTCTCTGGAAAATTGCGACGTTATACCTAACTCCGAGCCGATTGAATGTCCCGTATGCTTCGTTACATACGGTCCTCGCGAAGGGGTGATTTTAAGAGATTGCTTACACATGTTTTGCAGGTACAAACATATCTTTCTCAATTAAAAATTATGATTTCCTATGGTAACTTGTTTCTTTCAGATCATGTATTGCTAATACCATTCGATACTGCGAAGAAGCCGAAGTGAAATGTCCTTACAGAGACTCAGAGTACACCTGCGAGTCGACCCTCCAAGAACGTGAAATTAAAGCAGTACGTTAATCGCTGGAACTTGCTAAATAAATATTTGAAGATCTATCTAACACATTACACACCCTGATTAGCTCGTCGAACCAGAGATTTACCAGCAACATTTGGCTAAATCGATCGCTCAAGCGGAGAACAACGCAGGGAACAATGCGTTTCACTGCAAAACTCCAGACTGCCCTGGATGGTGCATTTACGACGACGACGTAAACAACTTCCTTTGTCCTGTGTGCGGTGCAAACAATTGTCTCACTTGTCAGGTCATAAAACAAAAGCTAGCTGATTATAACTATTTCGTAAACTACGAAATTTAACGGAAATTTCGTTCGAATAACTCCTACGATACGATGTTTGTTCCACAGGCTATACATGCTGGGAAAAATTGCAAACAGTACCAGCAAGAATTGAGATTTTCCAAGGAAACCGATCAAGAGTCGAGAAGAACAGCTGAAATGCTGGAAGATATGGTGGACAGAGGCGAGGCACTCGCCTGTCCAACTTGTGCAGTTGTACTAATGAAAAAATGGGGTTGCGATTGGTTGCGCTGCTCGATGTGCAAGACTGAAATATGTTGGGTAACGAGAGGCCCACGTTGGGGTCCAGGAGTGAGTAATCGATACGTAACACGTCACAATTCGATTCAGATGTTAATGTATGCACAGTTACGACTTGATTATCTGACTTCTTTTATCGATCGTTCTTTTCGTAACGTTGCATAGGGAAAGGGGGACACATCCGGAGGCTGTAGATGCGGTGAAAATGGAGTCAAGTGTCATCCTCGTTGCAATTACTGTCACTGAGAACCATCGTAAGATACAATTACCGCTGACTACGTACGACCAACGAGTGTGCTCGCACAATGGGAAGAAAAGAAGGAAAGAAAAAAAGAGAGAAGAAAAGAAGAGAACGTGGCTGCACCCAAAAATATTTTTATACCTTTATCAATGTTCCCGTGTAAGGGAAGATAAACCGCTAGTCAAAGCGTGACACACAGCTTGATATCTATTTAATAACGAGTTTGTTAACCGATAAAGCTGATACTGATAAGTTACATACGTATACGTTAAATACGCTGTGCTTGCTCAACGATTAACCTTATCGCGGAACCGTCCTTCGTGGAATTGGATGCAATTATTAAAAAGAGAGAAAGAGAGAGAGAAGTAATAAAGAGGTAGACACCTCCAATTTCGAACCGATCGTTCTTATTATTCTATCATAAATACAAGGACATGGGTGAATGAATTGTACTTTTACTTAAAGCTTCGTGTGCATCATGAAACGTATAATAAATTATAGATACAAGTAGCTTTGCAATTATACAGGCACCGATTTCTCATTGCATCTCGTCGGAGGTTGTCTCTTTTGTACCGATCTGTTTCAGTCGCGTCACCAGAGTCGACTGATGATGCGTCAGCTGTTGATTTAGGTTAACGCCCGCACACTGCAATATTTGAACCAAATTTAAATGCGCCGTTGTGATATCCATTTCACCGTATTTCATAAATTGCTCCAATTTAAAAACCTGTCCCTCCAGTATCCCTCCTAGAAGAAAAAGAAATCTTAAACCAGTTAATAAAAATCATCCTGTCTCGTCTCACTTTTTCTCAATTTCCACTTACCTAACGCGTACATTCTTTTCGATTTTTTCAAGATTTTGCGTAAGGAAGTTACGTTTATCTGAGGGCTGAACACAAATGCGGTGTATTTGTTAATCAGAGGAGCAATACATTCGTACGGTGAATCCCTGATGGCGTCTAGTACAATTCGAGACCCGTACGCTTTGTAGTACATATTCTCTCTGTGCAATAGGACTCTAACGCTGAATTTGTCCAACTCGTTTATACTGTTCACGTGTACGATGGCGGTCATTTTCGATTTGTCGAACCAATTACGAACTTCCTTAGACAGGATCTTTTCGTACGCTCCAAGCGGTATCTTGGTCCCGCTTCCTTTTTTTTCCGCGCAAAATTGCTCCAGAGTTTTTCCCTCGTCTGGATCGGCGAAGAACGGTTTTAAAAGTTCGTTCAACACTCTCTTCTTGAAAAATATCTTCGGCTTTCTGATGTTTATCTTGCCTCTGTACCGTTTCTGCTGGTACATCAATTGATTCGGCGTCAATTGAAGTGCTGGAACAGGAAAGAGAAACATGTCACACAGTTGCCGAGCGGGTTAAATTGATTCGTCGTCGGGGTTAATTTCACACACCTACCGTGATCTTCTCGGGCATTCGTGGCCACGCTGTTCGTATCGAATGTTGGAAGTTTACGAAAAAAAAAAACGATTCTTCCCTTATCAAAATCTCGTATATACTTTAGAAATCTGATAAAATAGCTGCCGTATTCGAAATTGTCGGTTATTCAACTTACACACTGTTTTATATTACGTGCATAAATTTATTTTAAAAATAGATACATGATCGGTACGAATTTAAAAGACAAATACAAAAATTATATATACAGAATCAATTTCTTCTTCTTTTTTTTTTTGTTTCGTTTGCAATGATATAAGGCACTTTGGAACAAATCATACATATTTAAGTATATAACTATATACGTGTGTACGTGTACGCGCGCGCGTGCGATGAGTGTTAAAGATCTGTGTTCTTTTCTTATAGTGTATAATAATCTGTGTGTGTGTATGTGTGTGCGTGTGTGTTTACGTGTGTATGTATATGTTCTAGGTGTTATGCACAATATTTTGAATTCCGTGTCTACGTTATAGGTTCCCTTTTTATTTTTGTTTCTGTTTAATATTATGCGATATAATTGATCGTTCCACTGCAATAATTACTGGATTCGTGACGGGCTTCTATACTATCACCGAAATTGAGCGATTTCCTATTCTTTCCTAATCGAAGCATCGAACGTATGCCACCTTTCTTTCGCGAACGTTTGTATCGATCGTCTAACGCCGAATGGAGAGATGCCTGTTTCACGTCCCCCCTATTTGGAAAACCTTCGCGATCGTCCTTAAAATTATTGCTACTCGTTATGTCGCCGTGTACATCGTCAACGAGCCAATGTTTCCGCGGTGAAGTGAACTTATTATTACATCCCGGTATAGTGTACACGTATTCTGACTGGGCAGGATCCACGGATTTCTCGTATCGTTTCAGACTACTCTCGCTCGCAGTACTGCTCTCGGTGGTAGCTTTGCTTTTATTCTTTTCGTAACTCTCCGATTTACCACTCCTTCTACTACTCTGCTCCTCCAGATCTGTCGACTGATTCGAGGACTTTTGATTCGCCTGTTCTTGATTCTTACTCTCCCGTCCTTCTCGCAACTTTTTGTTTCTCTTGTACGTGTCCGTGTTCTTTGCGTCCAGAGCAGCGTGCCGCTTCTCGGACATACTCTGTCTGCCTAAAGCGTCGCGGGAGAATTTATTGGAGGAAGAGTTAAATTCTTCGAGGGATAATTGACTATCGTACGTCGGATCTCCGGAATACTGACTATCTTTATCGTCCGTGTTTCTCTTCGCTTCATTGCACTGCGGCTCGTTCGAGTCTTCTAGCAATACTGGTTCCGTACGGTCGTCGCGCTGTCCTATCGTGATCTTCTTCACGTTACTAACAGACTCTATCCACGTTTTATTGGTAGCGATGCAGTAACTTTCGTTCCTTAAACTATTCTTATTATACTGTTCCGTTAGTCTATCGATAACTGGATTCCAAGGAGATGCCGTCACGCAGGACAATAGACCACCGTTGTCCAGAACGTCTGTCTGAGAGTTCAGGTTGTTCTTTTCTTTCACTCTACCCTCACTGGCTTTCGTGGATTCAGATATGTATATACTGTTAGCAGACTCTAATTTACAGTGAGAGGACAAACTTTCTGGTAAGTTTTTCTCGTTTGTATCGTAGGAAGATATCCTCCTTGCTATTGTAAGAGTGATCACTCCTGTTACAGAGCTGTTCGTATTGAGCATCGCTCTTCTAAGTGTTTCCATTGCATCTGAATTTGACAATCCTAATAATGATACCCCGTTAACATTGAGCAATTGATCATTGGTCCTTAACCGTCCATCCCTGGAGGCTGCACCTCCGTGAAGGACGCTTTTAATAAATATCCCCAAGTCCATATTAGTGTTTTCATCTGTGTTAGTTGTCTTTCCTTTAACGCTTACACCTAGTCCAGCCTTTTCCGAATCATGTACCGGTATGTCTAACGTTAATATCATACGATTTTTACGTGGTGATAGAACAATGTCTTCTGAGGAAGACTTCACTGGTTTGAATGTACACTTATCATAGCTATGGGTATTAACTTTATCTTGCACATCAATATTCTTCTTTACCGGTGATGTGTTCAATGTATTCCAATATTTTGCATTATCTGTAACATCTGTGGATTGACTTGTGGTAGTGACATGAGAATGAGAATCTGGAACAGTAGAAGAAATTTCTTCCTGACGTGATACCACCATCCTCACTATCCCACCAGGAGGGATACTTCTGAGGAGTGAAACAACTTCTGCCTGACTTTTACCTGTCATTTCTTTATTATTTACTTCTAGCAACCTGTCACCAGGCCTTAATCTGCCATCCTCGACTGCAGCACCTTTTGGTAATATATTCTTAATATATATCGGGCAATGGCCACCAGCAGGGTTGTCACGTGTTGTCACGCTAAATCCTAGTCCATTGCTCCCTTTTGTTAGTTCTATTTCTATCATACGACCAATCTTACGTGTGTTAGCAGTCTGCAGCAAATTATAATTGCTGCATTGAAGTCTTTTAACATTATCATCAATTTCCTTTTCTGACCCTCCACTAGTATTGCCATGATTTTTATGTAACGATTTCTCATGTGGTTTTTTATGCTTCACCACAGAAATTTGCAAACATTGTTCACTCATACAGGTACGAAAGATCTCTTGCACTTTGGAGAATGGTATACGTAATAAATTGTGACCATTTATTTTGATGATCTTATCATGTAAATCAATCTGTCCATCTCTAGCAATTCTGCCATTAGGCTCGATGCCCTCAACTCTGAGTCCCTGATCATTACCCAACAAGTCATAACATGGCACCACATGAAGCCCTAGTGGTCCTGCTTCATTTTTTATCACAATTTCCCTAATTTCTCCTTGATCTCCTGGTTCAATGTTAGCATTTGCATATTCAAATGATACTTTGGCATCTTGTCCCAGTGGCTCTCTACGCCGTGACTCTCTGGGAAGGGACTGAGCAGAATATGTGGTTAAACAAGGTTCCCTGGTTGACAGTGCATGCATTGACAATCTTTTAGTGCTTTCTCTTTTAATACTACTGACTGGTATGGAGGAATGTGTATCAATTGTATAAGTCGGTTCCTTGCTATCTGAATGAAAAAAATCAGGACTGTTTGTTCCAACTGAACTTGCCCCATCACCACCGGCATGCGTGGTATCTGTGCTCACAAAATGAGCAACAATCTGTTCTCTGTCATCAGCTACATCACATAACCTATCATCTGGATCCAGGAGACCACCTCCAGTTAAAGAGGATAAGCTATTTATAGTTAATGCACTATCATTCTTCCCAGTTGCTTTTTTATACCTTAGAATAGCCTCATGCATTAAATCCTTAACCAGTAGGGTTCCATCCCCACAAGGAACCACCACTCTAACGTTGTCGAAACACACAGTTACCTTCATGCTCGCTCCGATTTCATATTATCTTGTTATACGTTTACGGTCGCGTATCGATTATTTCTAACGTAATAGCACTCTAGGAATTCGTTTTGATGCTCTATTAAGCAACTATGTTGAAATAAATGCACGTGTCGTGGAATATATAGAGCCGTAAATTTTCTTTCGTATAATACGATTATCTTCTATTATCTGTCGTGTACTTCCATATTCTGATAATGAATCACCGACATCGTTCACTGGGCACTCTATTCTATTTATTGTCGGTTATATTGCTTTAAAAACTATACGTATATACGAAAATTTAGTGAACATACTCGAAATAAAAAAACTTTGTCACGATTGATAAGGCGGACGCGTACGCCCAACTTTATCACAACATCAAATATGCGGAACAGACGCACTCGCCATTACCACATTTTATTCCACTATTCCCTATGGCAATCCAACGGAAAGCAAGTAACATGGCGATACGGACAGTGTAGCCAACAAAATAACCTAATCTACCGCTTCTCATTCTCGACATTCCAACAAATACGTTTTAACAATAACAAGAGAAGAATGGCATCAACGACACTTACCTTTCCTTAGAAAATGAGCCATTATTTAGTTGTATTGTTCTCAAAACGAAGACAACAAATAGTTCATACACAAATTTCACACGTTCTTCACGTTTTACCTCGCATCCTTATTTACACACTGATCACACTAAAATGGTTCATGTCCACTGGTTCTTGTCTAGCCTTGATACGTAAAGGCGGTCTTTCAACCAACAGAATTTTCATCGATTTAACAAACAGACTAATACACAATTGGCGAATAACCAATGTGATTCACCGATACGTGACACTCACTCGTATTTCGTAGGAGTAATTTTTACAAATTTATACAATATCATGATTACTAACGTTTGCGCTATCTAAATTACCATGTATTTCATATAATCGAAGCGAAAATAAACTAACAATCGTTTCTAACGTAACAGACTAATTTCCTAATACAATCCAACAGTTACCTATCCAAACCTTACACAGATTTTGAAACGTCAAGTTCTACAGAAAATTTCTAGTGATTAAACCACTTTTTCATTACGTCATTATCAATTGATAGCACGATAGAACAGGAATACCTTTAATTTCGTTAAAAAATGAAGTGGTTCGAAGGCAGCATCAATGAAGCAGTAGCAACATCAAAATCTAGGAAAGCAGTTTTCGTCGTTTTTATTGAAGGTGTATATTTGTAATGTTAGGTTAAGCCTTTGTTCAATCTGTTGTTGCTTGCGTTTTGCTAACATTCATTTATATAACCAAATAAAAACATATTTACAAATTTTCCTTTCCTTTTCCCTATCATACCCTCCCTTGACAATTGTGCTTTACATATATTTCATTAATGCTATAAGACAAATGGAAATTGCAATATATTTACAGGAAAGGATGACACATCTGTAGAAGTTGCTGAGGCAATCAATGCTACAGAAGTCTCTAGTCGGTTGGAACAAGAAGATTTTGTAGCAATTCGATTAGAAAGTGGATCTGAAACATACAGATTCTTTGTTCAGATTTGTATCCTTTTGATAACGTGTCTCTGATAACCACTTAAGTGACTAGATGAGTCATTAGAGATATATATATTGAAAATTCTAACAAAACTTTATATTTTCCTAAGCATTCTGGCTCAGATCAACTGGTACCTGTACCATCCATATTCTTTATTGGTGAGAATGGCACACCCTTGGAAATTGTAGCCGGCACTACAACAGCAGCTGAATTAGCTTCTAAAATTGATATAGTTCTATCAAAAGCAGGAAAAAATAAAAATGCTTCTGTTAATTTGATCAATGCTGAACAAATAGCAGCTGCTGCTAGCAGTGCTACCAGTTCTAATATAAAAGCTACTGTAGATCAAAAAACTGATAGCACAGTAAAATCAAATGTGGAAGTACCACAAACCAAATTAGAAAATGAGAATGATAAGATAATTGCAAATAATATAAAAGATGAACCATCTACAAGTCTGAAAGCTACTGAACTACCAAAACCTGTTAGTGGAACAATGGAAGTACCTACCAAAGAGTTGACAACACAAGTATGGTTATGTCAGAATTTTTCATATCAATAATTACGATTAAAAAAAAAATACTAAATTATTATACATCCTCAGGAAAAAATGGAACGAGCGCAGCAATTGATAGAAGTGCAAAGAAAGCAACGTGTAGAGGAGGAGGAAAAAAAAGAAAGGGAAAGGGAAATAGAACGTCGTAAAATCGGACGCGATGTACAAAAAATGCGACAAACCCAGCAAGACTTAGAAATGAAACAGGCTTTCGAGGAGAGAATGAGGGAGAAAGCTGCTGATGCAGCAGCTAGAGAAAAGGTTCTCCAGCAAATTGCTCATGATAAATTGGAAAGAAAACAAAGAGAACTAGCTATGCAGGTTCATATCCTTTTCTTCTCTATAAAAACACTCCTCAAATTTCTATGTATCTATAAATAAAATATAAACTTATTGTCTACAGCAACAAGTGCAACAGCAAAATACTCCAGAACCGGTTGAACAACCCCAATCATCTGTATCCACAACAACTCTGGGTAGAATACAATTTCGTTTACCTTCTGGTAATCCTTATATCGGACAATTCAAACCGACAGATACTCTACGTGATTTGCGTAATTACGTGGTCGAGAACATTGATCTACCTTTTCGACAATTTGGTCCTGCCATTGAAAAATGTAATTTCGACGAATAGTTTGATCGAGAACCTTACTATCGTATCGTTATCCTAATTTTCTGATTTTAGACGAACACAACAGCAGCTGTACCGTCTACAGAGGATATCGGTGTTATACCACGGTTCATTTGGTCCACTTTTGCCATTTTCACAGCCGTATACTATTACATAGTAGGCTATTTCACCGGTGGTAGACGTAACGATACGCCAATACCACCGAGCACCGCTGTTGAGAACAAGGATGCAGAGAATAAAGCAGGTGGATCGGTTCCTTCGACTGTTTCAAATGTCGGTAGCTCATCGGGGTAGGTTTTCCTTATACGTAAGGATATTTTGCATGAATAAAATATACGAAAGAAAAACAAAGGGGTCATTGTTAAAATATGATTTGTGACATTTAGTTTGGTTAGAAGATATTTGGGTAATCGAGGAAGCACGACCATCAAAACGGAGGGGAATATACATAGATTGCATTCAGGTGGAGATGATAATGATGAGAATAATACATGGAACGGGAATTCAACGCAACAAATGTAGGATTATTAATAGATCGATCAAGTTCCAACGGGTTGTTTTACCTGTTTCACTAATCAGAATTTTAGATATGCAACAGATATTTACTATCTTCGATTAAAAAGTATATTTTGTTAAAACTTTTATACATTTTCGTTCAGACTTGCACTACCGATCGAGTGGCGTGTCCTTTATTTACGATATTACAATTACGACGACACAAGTTTTCCTTTAATCACGAATCACATTTTGTTCAAAAGAGAAAGAAAGCCTTTCTTTTTTTCTTTTCTTTTCGTTGCGTTACATTTTCACCGAATGAGACGTGTTTGATTCTTCACCATTTACGACGACACCACTTTCACTCTCGTATCAAACGTTTAAATTGATAATACACAGTAATAAGTTACAAGTGATATAAGGACCAAAACGCAGCAGCTCTCCGTCTGCGATACGACAGATAACACACTTATATCCCTGGGAAAGATATTTCGACTATATATCTTTACATTCGTAGTAAAAGTCTCAAACTTAACCGAAGGTTTTACGTTAGCTAACGTGTTCCAAGATTTCCCTTGAAAGGAAGAATAAAAACAAAAACAAAAAAAAAAAAACAAGAATTATTTTATTATATCACACTAATCAAAGTTACTGTATATTTTCGGGTAATAAGAATTGTACTAAGAATAGCGACTACGTTATGTTTTACTTTACGGTAAAAAGCAAAATGTACGGACTAGAAGGCTTTTATTCTGTTAATATATAAATAACAAGAAAAAGAATATATATAAAAAATTTACAAGAAATATCGTTTCTCGTTCATTGCATACACCCTCTCCCAATGAATTCGTCTCTCTGGAACAATCGTTCTGTTATGTGGTTCCGGTGTGGTGTTCGACGTTCAACGACGCCAAGTAGCCCCGGTAAGACGATACAAGAACGTTTGTTACAACAGTGAGAACATGGAATGATGACGTGTGAGTTTTTCGTCTGTGACGAAACGTGATTCCAAAAATATGCTCAAGGCGAGAATGAAACAAACGGCCAGAGGAAAATTGTCGTGACCGTCCTGTTTTGCGGTTGACACATTCGGAAGGAACGATAATTTACACCCTTCCTCTACATCATCCCTGTCGATTGCGGCACCAATTAAGCGTAAAATTAACAAACATTTTGGCTGACTTGTTCCTTCAAAAAGGTTTCAGCTTTCTGGCAATATAACATATCGCAGAACCTGCGGGAGGAGTGTCGTCTAGGGTAACGTGATCTTACAGACACACCTACCAGTCCTTTCAACAACTCCACTCTTCTCGAACGAACGCGGCAGTTCGTCATGCTCGAGTGTACAACGTTGAATATTGTTGAAAAATTGTATATTTTGTAACATCGTTGTATCGAGTTGAAAAGAATAAAATACGATAAAATATAAATAGATTTTTGGACGAGAATTAATCCGATGCCAATATTTCTCGTTCCACTTGGCCGGCAGAACTTTCAAACAAATTTCTGCAGTGTAGTTCGCTGGTTCGCATAATCGCAGCCAAGTTTCACATCTGTCAACAGTTCTTGTATCATTCTATCATCCCTATCATCGTCTTCTTAATACACGCGATTGTCCGTCTAATAATCTCATTAAACCTACGATCAATTGTACATCCCTCGAGCAGTATAAACGACAAACTTGTCACGTCCCACGATTTTATACGAATCCCTAAAAATCTGGACGATACTAATAATACGTTCAACTCGATCTCCATATCTCATCTTCTTCGGTAAATGTAAATTAAAAATAATTCGCTAATAATACGTATAATACACACGTATTAAAATAATTGCAATTTCTGCATTGAAATATATTTTTCGCCAAACGTAATTCCATTTCAACCACAAAAAAAAAAAAAAAAAAAAAAGAAATGAGAAAGAAAGAAGTCGCTTAGCGTAACGTTGTCCTGGTTGAAAATGAAATTGGGCACGGTGAAGGATTTCGCCAGTATCCGTCTTCGATACGAGCGTAACAGATGGAAAATTGACATCAAATCACGCTCGTCTTCTGTCAAGACAATTATTAAATAGCGTTTCACGGCGGTGACAGAAATTTATGGATACCTCATTACCACCGTTTAGTGACTGCTACCGTCGCGCTGTACGAGATCATTAGGGGCTCCTTCCAGAAACGCACGTGCTTGCCAAGAACCGCCCAAACTCTCTCGCGATTGGTTGAACCCGCGATGACGTCATGAGCACGTGGCTTTTCGAGACCGCCTCGAGGTACGAAGAATTTGACTTGGCTGCCAAAAAAAAAATATTGTTGGACATCGCGAGCAACCCCGACAAACAGTCGCTGGTTTCGACTCTAATCCCGCGAACGGATCACAGGGTGTTTGTTCTATGAATGGCCTGAATCGATCGATTTTCAAGTTACATTGTCGTTATTATCGTTTCTGTTTTTTTTTTCTTTTTCTTTCATATTCGATAAAAGTCCGGATGTTCCGTTAATTTCACATAGGATTGCTTCGAACGAAGTAGTGCTTGTGACGCCGATAGTGATAACAACACGCTTTTAGTGGAGAAGATGTGCAGTGAGTTGTAAACCGATCGATCGATACGTATCTTCGAATATCCGATCGATCTCGATCTACCGGTACATCGAACCGCGGTGGTGATAAGATCTGAATGATAGCGTGGAGCATCTCGAGAACGAAGGGACTTTAGGATGTCTGAGGAACGTATGAAAACGTCGGAAATCGCCAAAGAATCGAGCGAATTTGCCGGAAGCCCGAGAGTATGCTCGTTCAGTATCGAAAGTCTTTTAGCGCCGTGTAAGAAGAACGTCGAGGAGGAAATTCGCGTGCCCGTTCAGACCGAAGCGTATATGCACGGTCATGAATGTAAGTGAATGAAAAATTTGGTTTTTTCTTTGGGGAGAAATTAGAGGAGAATTTGTTAAACGATGTTGATTTGTACAGCAAACGATTCTGAAGGAAGGAAACTGGTAGCGCCAGATTCCTCCATGTCCATGGCAGAGGAAATCGAATTCGACGACGCCGATATGGTTTGTTCTACTTCACCTGAAGCTGAGATGTGCTATGGTGAGTCGAACGTAAATTTTCGAACCTGTATTGACGTTAATTTGAAGAAAAATTGTACTTTGGATATTGCTGAAAATAGATTTTAATTCTTCTAAGTCCAAGAAGATAAAAAAGATAAGGATGAACATTTTCGAATCTATATTAACACTAATTGGTGAAAAAATGAATTTCTGGATGTTGCTAAAAATACATATTAATTCTTCTAAGGCAAAAAAGACAAAGTTGAAAATATCAACGTTAATTTGTAGAAAAATTATACTTTAGATATTACTAAAAAATAGATATTAATTCTTCTAAGATAAAAAAGACAGAGATGAAAATATCAACGTTAATTTGTAGAAAAATTATACTCTGAATATTACCAAAAAATAGATATTAAATCTCCTAGGATAAAAAAGACAGAGACGAAAATATCGACGTTAATTTTTAGAAAAATTATAAAAAAAAAAAAAAATAGACATCAATTCTTCTAACACAAAAAAAGCCAAAGATCCATTAACACTGTGAATCATTAATACAGAAGAGACGAAATAAGCTTCAAGCTTCTACGTTCAAAAGAAAAGACTCCGATCTACGAGATTACACCGAACGATTGAATAAATTATACAGCTGCTGTACACTTGTGTTTGTTCTGTCCAATTGAATAGTCGAAAAGTATATCGAGCAAGAACACGGATACGAAATTCTCCCGTGTGATTTAAATCGATCGACGATTAACAATGAAGTTCCTTCAGTCGGAAGAAAAAAAAATACAATTCGAGACACACCGTCGTGCAGTGTCTCCTATGTATTGACTTTCTCTTCAAATTACGCGATTGAGATATCTAAATTGTACGGGCAGGGAATCAAATATTATCGGATCTGTCTTAAAATAGTTATCGCGCGGAATCATTGCAAACACCGCGATCGCTCTTTTAGCATGTTAATCGCACGGCAAACTAACCGTTATTTGAACGTTAATTATCCGCCATTGTCGATAAAATTTCTGGTTAAATTCCGCGCAAACAATCAATGAGACGTTTTGCCAGAAGAAGAAAAAAAAAAGAATCCGCGACAACGGGCAACATTCCGATGTCTGCGCGACATACACCGCGGCTCCATACACCTTATTTACAAACTTGTCGCGGTTATTACACACACAGAGTTGCCGTGTAATAATGGGTGTAATTGTTTCCACTTAATTCGTATATTGTTACCAACGTGAAAGGGAGTAATTGTTACAGAATCCACACGACTTCCTTCACGTGGTAAAACGAATTCGTAAGTTTGCGCGGAGGACCGTTGCTCGTGAGTTTGATCCATTACTTCCTGCAGGGTCCACGCCCACTCAATGTTCCTGCTCCTCGTCCACTATTTATCTGTCTCCTGCTAATTCTGCCATGGAAATGCAGCAAACTGTGCTCTCGCGCCTGTACCTAGCGTACAGGATGAAAAATAAAGGACACCGTAAACGATTCACACTCGAAGGTGTTTTCTCCAAGTCGATTCGATTCGATCTGTGCGTTCGAACCGTTAAGGACGATCCATTAATAAAGAATTCTCTTCGTTTAATTTATTCCTCGATCGGGAACATCTCGTCTATAGCGTTCAATTTATATCGAATTTTTCCAAGATAGTTTCTGATTAATTCTACCATTAATCAATTCGATAGAAGATTTCTCGTTTGGAATTGGTACCACGATGTATGATTAACGATCAACGATCGACGTGTGCGATTCGACTGAATTGCATTCTATCAGCGGAGTTTTACATTCTCGACGACTAATTTCCAACCAAGGATCCTCGTCTCTCGTGATTTACACGGCATAATGGGCGCCGCGATAAATTCGAGATCTAAGGAAAGGACAATTCTCGCTTGCGCCGTGCGTTTCGTCTCGAGATATGTGGGACGTCGCGTCCAACTACAAAGCCGTCAACGCGGTTCGTAAATCTTTGCATAAAGCAGCCTAGCGAACGAGTAAAGTCGTCCAAAATCTGCCATCCCCATTTTGAACGGTTCCATTTTTCTGATTTCTAATGAGCCGTTTGTTTCGCGGTGTAATCATGTTTATCGCGCATTACACGCCTCGTGGATCCGTTACACAGCAGCCTTTCTGCTGGCTATTCATAGCTGCTTCATCAATCGTCGAGTTTCATCGACAATTCGATCGCGGCGATGAAGAAATTTTCTGGTTCGCGAAACCGGGAAGATCCCGTCGGGGACTAATTGCTAACAGCTATTTCACAGAGCCAGCTAATTCTGGATCCATAACAAAGGGTCGAGCAATCTGTCCAATCCTAAAAGCATCCAATCGGTCCAACTGGCTGCGCGCGGATTAATTGTCCTGCTAGTTGGCCACGAGTGTGAAATCGTGCAACGCCGAACGAATGAAAATTAGCCACGCTTTATCGCGCATTTCTACCCGTGCTCTCGCCATTCATCACCGAATAATTAGGAGACAAGTTCACCGTGGCTCGCGGCAATTAGGTAAACTAGAGGGCGTGGTGTTCTATTTCGGCGACGCTCGCGGTGCTCCTTCTCGACGGGTTCCGCCGCACGCTTCTTCACGCTTTCAAGCATCCTTTTTGCACCGTTCCTCTCCACGCCAACCCTTTCTTCCCTCTTCTTCGTCGTCGTCTTCCTCTTCTTCCTCTGCTTCGTAGAGCTCGTTCGTCAATGCAACCGAGTCAGAAAGTCGACGACAAATGAGCCGCGCGCGAGAATCATCGCACCCTACGAAAATATTTTCTTCGAATGTTTCCGGCGGCAGAAAAAGATCGTCTCGACGAAGATCCAAAGGGAAATTTTCCACGCGGAGAAATTGTAGAAAAATCGTTCCGTATTCCGAGGAATTCACAGTTGGACGAAATTCAGCGTCTCGATAGGTCGCGCTAATGCACACAGTTGCGACAGATGAAATCTGAAAATGTAAACACGCGGAGCTACATAGCACAAGTTTGATATTATTATCTGACGCGGGGTATATACTGTTTCCCAGCATACGAGTTGGAATCCTTCCTGAATTTACACGTGCAGAAGCGTGCACAAGCACACGACGTGGTCCACGTCGAGTGAATTAGAGGCGGTACGGTTTTAGCCGACGACTCTGTAGTACAGGCAGAAGAGAAGTCTCGAAAAACGCGCGAGAAACGCGACAATTACGTCGCCATCTGACAATTAGTAGCCGGTAAACGACTCTACGCGGTCCTGGTAACCACGCCGCAAATACTTTTTTCGAGATATTTATTGCTCCGCCGGCTGCAAGGGTCGGTTAAGCCCGATCCATTTTGCCCGCGAACGAGGAAGAGCTTTTTGGTCATCGATTTATCGACGCCGAAATAACCGATCCTCTTCAACGTTTGACGACGTGATAGATGAGTTCCTCTTGTCACCACGGGGAATACTTGCTTCGGCCATTCAGTAAAATCAAATTCTAATTATACTTCGGCCATTATGCATGCCGGTGATTATGAAAGTGGCCCAAGTCGGAAATCTGAAGTTCGTGAAAGTCCTTCGGAGTCTTCCAACGTCTGTAGGCTTAGTAAAAATGGCGTTTATTGATCGAAGTATTATCCACTTTGATCATTGCTGAACGCTGCTCCTCCATTTCACTTTCGTTACTAAACTTTCTTCTGGAATTTTATCTTGATGCATTTAACGAACCACTGTGTCATTTTGGCTAATTTCAAGCTATCTATCGGCTGGTATCGATTTTATTATACGTAAATCTCGGTGTGCTTTGCAAACGGTGATAAAACGAAGGATACAACGCCCGTGACACGTTATGGTATCACCGTGTCGCGAGTATACTTTTTCCCCCTCGAAAAGTAGCAGACATGTCAGATGACGAATGGGCAGATAATTAGAAGATGATCCCCGCTGCTTAGAGAGCCGCGGTCCTGTTACCAGTCGACTAAAAGAGACCCCAAAGACATTCCTCATGGGCGAGGCGCGACGTCTTGTACCAGCGGCTTGTAAGCCCGGGATAAATATAAATATAAACAACTTCGACGGGCAAAAAAGGTTTCGAGATTGATGAGGAAAGAAATCTTACGGGGGTAATTGGGCTTTAAGGTCTGAGAAAGAGAGGGAGAGACGAGAGTAGAGAGAGGCTTGTGTTCACGGTAGTCTCGATCTCGTTTAGAGGCAATTAAAACGAAACCTCGTCACGGTGCATAAAACACCATTTTACCCGTTAATAATTGCTCTTTGTCATCGCGTCGGTTGTTTAAATCTAGTTCCGCTCATTCCCGATCAAACACCGAATACAATGTTATAGTTTATAATTTGCGGTCGCTCTGCTGTTTAATCTCACGTGACACGCGTGTTATTAGAGCTCATTTAATTACGACGCGTTTTCATTCCATTTAATCGCGGTGAAGTAACGCGACCGGTGTCGCGCAATTATTCGATAATTACACGATAAGGAAGCGTTGTTTAATTATCATTGTTCGTGCCGCGATGTGCATTTTCGCGTTTACATTTACGGATATACAGAACGTATGCATACGTACAGATGTGTGTACGTACAAACAACCGGGAGAGATCCGGCGTAATCTCTTTATTTTTCTCTCTCCCTCCATCTTTTCACGGTGTTACCAGAGGCGTGTACCAGCAGCAGCGGTGCCAACTCCACGACAGGTGTGGATAGAGAGGTTCAGGAAAAAAGTGACAGCGCCATTAGCGATGACGAAAGAAAGAAGAGGCCTCGAACCGCGTTCACCGCGGCGCAAATTAAGTCATTGGAAGCGGAATTCGAGAGGAACAAATACCTGAGCGTGGCGAAGAGGTTGCAGCTCAGCAAGAGTCTCAAGCTGACCGAGACTCAGGTACGTGTTACATAATTTATGTCATTATTCATTCTAAACAGTGACGCGAGAGAAAATGATCCCACTGACGGGTTCACGTTCTTACCCTATGTCTGTGTCTCCCTGTCTTTGTGTGTGCATGTGCGAGGAAGAAAAATTATCCCGTTATATATCACAATAACGAGAGGATCTAACCACGAGGAATACCGGTAACAAGATTCCCCCGTGATTAAAGGGAAACACATTTCGCGGAAGTCACTTCGAACATGATGCACCGGTGCAACGATAAATCGCGATAACGTCTCTGACTTCCGTAGGATGTGACACCTGAAATAGTTCAAGTTCCTTGTACCCTGAAAATCAACCGAGAATTATGACTACGAAGGCCACCATATGTGTAGGCGCCACACTATGGCGCCATCGGGGAAGATCGGCCTTTAGGACCAATTAGCACTTGTACGCCCTTTCTTCTCGCTTCTACGAGAGAAGGAAAGAACAAAGTTCAACAGAGCACATCTTGCTGAATCCGTTTCGTAGAAACTATCGATTAATCATCTTGCTTGCATGTAGAAATTGCACCCTGTCCTAGAAATTCGTTCCATTTTTGTATTCTACCAGCGCCCACAAGTTCGAACGCGAACCATACCACTATTTCGTGCTCATTTTTCCCAGCGTAATTTCTGTTTCTAGCGTCTAATATTATCCACGAAGATCTCGAAGTGCACAGCTTTCAACGAAGATTTAGATAATCCACGCGTTAACTGCACAAAGTTGTAGAATGGACTGCGACAGTTACATAATTCTCCCATTTACTTTAAAGCGAGAGCGCAAACGTGGGACCGGTATTACGTCGCTTTAAACTAATTAATTTACGATAACGCGTCAGATATTTTCCGTTCAGCTGTAATACGTATCGCGAGAAGATCGCGTATTCCCTTGAAGAAGAGCAGAATCCGTGCAATACTGCTTTGGCTATAGTAATTGCCAGAAGAACGGTAGAAATATCGCGCAGCACCGTTGAACGAGGCAGATAATTATCTTCGCGATCACAGCAAAAGGGAAGGACGATCAGACGACGGATCAGAGGGAAGAAGGAGACGTGTCGTGGCGCAGACATAACTGTCACAATATTTCTCGTAGTTAACGAGCCAGCTCCGGGAGTCTCCCTTCTTCTTCTTGCTACGCTGTTACTCCGATTCGTGCGTTAATACCGTTTCTCCAGCATGCCGCAAGAACCACAAGCATCCCGGGACAACGGATGCTTCGAGGCGACGGACCGAAGAGGCGTCGATTTTTTAATTAGGATATATTACCGCTTCGAACGTTCTGAATCCGGTTTAGGCGTTCCCCTCTTCACGAAATTTCGGGTGAAATCGTGGGCCAAGATGCTCGCATCATTTTTTCCCGCCGCGACGCTTCATGTGTTTGCCCTTTTTTCTTCCTTGCTCGAGCATCATTCAATTCCTCGTGTGAACTAGCTCAATTCATGAGTTTCTTCCAGTTTTTATGCATTTTTAACGATTATTTCATTTTTCGATTTATTTTGTAAAAAAAATTCTGACTTTATTGATGCTTTTTGACGGTAGCTTGCAGCATTCGAGTTTTCACACAAGTTGGCAGAAAGCTTTGCAAGCGCCTCGGTAGCGCAGTAGGTAGCGCGTAAGTCTCATAATCTTAAGGTCGTGAGTTCGATCCTCACCCGGGGCAAATATTTTTGCTCCTCCAAGGGAGATATCGTTTTGCTAATTGATTATCTTGTCCGGGCGATTATTTTTTACAATTAGACCACTTGAAAGCTATACGAGAGACTAAAAATACTTTTTGTGTTTGTTAACGAATTTTTGTGTGTGTTCGCAGATTAAAATTTGGTTTCAAAACAGACGTACAAAGTGGAAGAGAAAGTATACGAACGATGTTGAGCTTTTGGCACAGCAGTACTATTCTAGTTTGGGGATTCCTGCACCCCGACCAATTTTTGTCGAAGATCGTCTATGGTAAGTTGTATTTTTTATTTCTTTTATTTTTGCATAAATTTCAGTTTGTTTGATAGGGGACAAAAAATATTCTACAGGTTTTTCAATTACCCGGCGCAATTGCAACCAGGAGCACCGATTTTTCCGCAGCATTTAGCGACCGTTCCTCTACCACCTGCCTTGCCTATCGTGCAGCCATTGCCGAGCAATTTATCAATGGGTCAACAGACATCGATTTTTCAAAATATCCCCACGAGCAACCCGACGTATCATTTGAGTCAGAGGTTGGATTTCAGGCATCAGGATTCTTAGATGCAGGAAACGATAGTGTTCGTGGTTTTATTGATCGTACGCTGATCGATGAACGACTCGATAAGTAATGTTAATTACCGTACAGGATTAATGCATTGAAAATTGGAATTATATGTGATACGAATTTTTGGAGATTTTAAGAGCATTAAACGGGAGAATCGTCTTAATTGTGAACTTTTGTATTATCTCGATGGATAATGGTACTGAAACGAAACCAAAGATCGCCTGATACATTGCGACACATATCATGTTGAGAGGCTAAATTATAATTTACAGACATTGAATATTTATAATGAAATATTGATAAGTGTGTAAACAAAAAAAAAAAAAGACAGCTGGAAATAATAAGGATTTTGGTATTTGCATTTATTATAGAAAGTGTACAATATATACAGCAGATAATTTTTATAACAATACCCTTCTGTTTTTAACGGGAAACACTAACAAATATATTTTTATCTGTAAATGATATACATATTAATAAATAGCATAATCCTTCCTTGTATGTCATTATAAAAAATATAAACCAATAAATTATTTATTGACTGTACAATGGATGAAGATATAAAGAATCTGAAAGGTGAAATATTTATTACAGAACTGAGGGAGACAGAACTTTACTGACTCCTAAAATCTTTTCATCATGAGCTGCCTGGTCTTGTATAATTTTGGCATATTTTTCATTTTCCTGTAAATCTTCTTCGTCCAGCATTTCTTGCATTCTTTGTTTATAACTATAATTAAACAATGCGTAATATCCTGCTTGCTAAAACTTATCACATAAAAATTCATGTTACATTAATAAGACTACCTTAGAACTATACTTACATGTCACTGTCAGGATTGTTTTCCTGATTCCTACATTTCTCCAATTTTTTTTCCAATGCTCTTACCACATCCCTCGAGGGAGGTTCTACACACTTAGCCATTGATCTTATTTCTATGATATATATTTTACTAGTTAGCTAGATACAATGTATTACAGAAATATTCTTAGGTAATGTGAATGAAAGAGAATATATTTACTTCTTACTGCCTCTATTATACACCCTAAATGTTCCTTAGAGAACAAGATATCGGTCACATAATTATCCAGATTAGCAGAGGCTCTGGATGCAGCATGTAATGTTGCAGCTAATGCAACTTGACTTGGTGCATACAACAAAACACTATCAGTCAAGAATACCCTTTCTAAAAATTCATCTATATATGGCCTTAACCTTTCTGGATTTTCCAAAGAGACATACCTGGTCTAAAAGTATACAGAATGAATTTGTCTGAATATTACATTGATATGGATATAAAGGTATTAAAGATATACCTTGATATCTATTATCAATCCCTCAACAGGCCTAAATGGATTATGCACTGTTAAGTTATAATTCAGTTGCTGCATAAGGAGCAATTCATTATTCAATATAATGTCAGATGCCTTTTCTCTATCTCCTTTAATGTTTGCAACAAACTGATATATGGAAACATTGAATTCCTCTACCTAAAATAAACTGTTGTAACAAAGTGCCAAAACCCCTGAACAAACTATTTAAAGAAAAGACAATTACTTTACAAGCCAAGTAGACACATGTGACTAAGATTTCTTTGGGGTGATAATCCATAACACTATTTCTCAGATAAAATCTTTTGAAATAATGTAATGCTGTTGCTACTGTGGCACGTGGCATAGAAGGAGTAAAACGACGACAGAAATCCCTCAATTGTAATTCATAGAAACGAAGTAATGTACGTTCCTCTGTGTGGGACAGAAAATGTTCCTCCCTTTCCTCTGACTTTTCAAAGTATACATTTCACATTAGAATCCAAACAAAGTAACAAACGTGACATTCAACAAGACCAGTTATAAACAAAGTATATAATGTCAAATACAATAAAAAATCAAATAAAAACATAAAATTATAAAGCAGTGTGCGCATATATCGACATGCTTTCATTTATCGATAGAGGTAAACATGTACATAACCTACAAATTTTCGTAGTTAATTCAGAAATCGCTGTTGTATACACAAACATAAATCGTACAATAAAGAACGCGTTCGAAAATGAATGTACGAAAGAAAATCGCCAATGTGTTGTTAAAAACTACGACTTACCGTCATATTCGCACCATGCCTTTCAATAAACTCTGCGTTTGTTTTCTCTCTCAACGCCGTCAAGTCATTTTCATCGCTAAACATCCAATACCTGTTCTGCGAACTCTGCGGAAACATTGTCGCTCCGCCCTTAACGAGTACCGTCGAAAACCTAAATGTTCCGAACCGAAATTCAAAATTGACGTCTACACCAGAAAAGAAGGAGGCAAACTGCTAAATACCCGAGACGATACACACCTATGATGTTTCAGAACTCCCACCGAAGAGGGCAGCATTGAGTGCACTGTGGTGCATCTTCATGTCGATACGATCACGAACTACACGGCAGACACTAAACAACGGTTTCGCGGGAAAAGTTTTGTTCGCAAAGAAATTAAGAAGTCACTCGACTAAATTGAACGTTCATCTGTTCTTAAGAAACGCTAATAGAAGCACAAAGGTATCCGTTTTTAAATGAAATAAATTATTCAGTAATATGAATGCAACCATTAACAAGTGCACCATGCTGCCGCACTTAGCACACATGTCTAATGCAGATGCAACTAATGACAGGATACGCGAGGAACAATTAAAACGGGTGCTAATCGGATAAATCAGGTAATGATCCTATTTCTTATTACAGAGTACCGTTGTTTCGTTTATTTTTGATGTCCATTATTCATATTTCGTTGAAACTATACTAGATAATAAAAATATACGAATAACCGTGCTCTTGGCATTTTCTAACCTCAGTTGACGATTTACATCGTGCGTTCTTTATTCACGTATCCGTGTTTCGTTTTCAACGAACGATTTCGATAACCTATTATCGAGTGTTGTTATCTAAAGAAGATTTTATAACACAAGAAGAATGTGCAATTGCCTGAACGTCTAATATCGCGAAAGTGTCAATGTTACGAAGAAAGAGCAAAGAAATACCAAACAACGAGTGCAACAGAAGGAAATGAAATTTTTTCTTTATTTTCCTCGAGATAATTTAGAATTTCTTCATAAGAACCTTCAGAAATTGTTTTTCTCTTTATTTTCCACGAGGCAATCGACAATTCGTTCGTGAGAACAGATCGAAAAATTGTTTTTAAATTTTCCTCGAGATAATTTAGAATTCGTTCACGAGAACATTCGTAGATATATTTTGTTTTAATACTCCTCGAGATAATTTAGAATTCGTTCACGAGAACATTCGGTAAATCGGTGTAACGAGTTGGAATAACAGCTCGTAGGCATATTCCCATGCCTGAGAGTTGTCAACGAAATACAAAGAGCACAACGATCTTCGAGCACGGTATTGGCTCGAGTGTTGGCGATCGTGAAAGTTACCGTAGAAAGATACGAGCTGGTGAATACAACAGAGGTTCGGAGTTTTCGGTAAAAGGGATCATATTTTCTGGTAACGTGATTGTACGTGCCAGTAATAAACAAGATCGGCGAATGGTTGATAGAGGGTCAGAGGTGGGGGTCCAATTTTAATATGTACGCCCCCGCAAGCGGTTGCACGTCGGATCTGAGGGGGCGTTCCTACGACCCTTTGTCAACCGACGACGCCGCTGCATCTTATCACGATCAAGCCTTGGGATCTCCCATTCTGCTCTTCCACCTCGTTCAGCCCTCGAGGCCATCCCGGTGCTGCCGCTTGTTCAAGCAAAGACGTTGCCTCGATGTCTCGGTGGCTATAACTTTCTACTTTTTTCACATTGATTTATGCTTCTTTATCCTACGCGACGATACGTCGTCGTTCTGGTACAGTCTGTGGATCTCTTAAAATTTAGCCAAGCATCTGCAGCCTCCTATCCGACGGCGTATCTAAGATGTTACGATTAAAAAAAAAACTGTCTTGAAATTTCCATCTTCTTGAATTCGTTCTTACATAAATAACGAAAATACAATGTTACACTCTATCACGCGTCTAAATCGTGGATAATTGGATAATTCGGGGTAATATTTTGGAAAGAGAAAACATCGTGGATTTCGAATAGAAATGCGAAAACTTAGAATTCGATTTGTCGATTTAAAAAGATGGGAAAAATCGCGAGTTTTGAGTTTCGAGAAAAATGCCTCTTCTCTTGTAATTCGATCGAGGATTTCTGAAACTTGAAAAATGCCTCTTCTCTTAGAATTCATTTGTCGATGTAAAAAAAAAAAATAGAAAAGATCGCGAGTTTCGAGAAAAATGCCTCTTCTCTTGTAATTCAATTTCTACCGACTCGAGAAGTTTCATTTCCGACGAAATCCACCGCGGGAAACGATATGGCACCGAAAGTGAAGTACATCCGCCATTAATCTAATATTGCGGTTGCCGCCGCCCTCGACTTTGCGTGCTGCACCCTTCCGCGTTCAAGCTTGCTCTCCCTTCGTACAAATACAAGTGGACAAGCACCAAACACGAACGTTTTGTACACCGAGAGATCCCGTGTGTACGTACGTGAACACGGAGAAAAAGGAGAGCCAAACGGCTCTCCCGGTTTGTTGGTAACGATAATGCAAAATCAATGTCTGGCGCGATGTACGAGGTGTGACGGGTAAAGTGGATTACCTTCGCACCCTTTTACCTCGACGGTTTACCGCAATCAAGAAGAAAGTTCTATCAAACTGTGGTTGCTTCTGCAGAGGAGGAATTTTTCTGAGTCCTCCGGAGAAAGAAATAACGTCACTGAACGGAAGCTTTAACCCTTTCACTGATCAATAAAATAATGCAGTATTGTGAAAATATGTGTAATTTTTGCGTGACTCAAATTATACTGTAAATAATATTAAAATATATATTTCACTGTATCTGAATTTTTTCTTATCCAATTTTTAATAATTCCAAGGAATTGAAGATGCATTCATTTCCAAACCTTCGATGTGTCTTTTCGTTTTATATTGCGATGTTGTTCTGTCCGAACCTCTGCCAAAGTAAATTTTCTATTTCAATTTATTTCTGTACTATGCGCAGTGTAACGAGTATATGAAAAAAAAATCAAATTAATTAATTTCGAAGTTCAATATTTCAATTTTTCAACACTCGTCGCTTCGACACTATGTGACACAATTGCTAAAAATTCAAAGGGTTAACCACCACAGTCGACACAGTCTTCTCCCTTTTTTTCCATCGTTTCGCTATGCTATCTTCTAAATCGACTACATTTCCGTCGACAGGTATCGTTCAGTTGCACCGAACAAAAGACACAGGAAGGTGGAACTCGTAGTTCCGAAGTTGTTCCATCGAACAATGCGTACGAATGCACATGTGCATGTGTTCCCTTGTTTTTTGTATGCGTGACCTAGTGTATCGCATGACCGTTAGCATGCCGTGGTATCGTCGTCGGTTAACCCGCAAAAAGCGGTATCACGCCTGCTTCTAACACTCTACGTCTGATCGGCCAGGTATCTTGCACGCGAGCCTTCAGCGATCGAAACCTTCTCGTGTGTTGTTCGTCATGATGGACGTACTGTTTGCATATTATATGAGGCCTGTGGTCGCAACTCTTCTTTTTCTCGCCTAAAAGTGCCCACCATTAAGCTGACAATGTTCTCGAAACGACGTTACTCGAGGAACTGTGATTGATTCGCTTCGTAAGTCGAACGAAACGAAATAGACACCTCGAAATACGCCAAACTATTTGCACATCTACGTTCTCTTCTTTATTCAAAGATTTCGCCGATTTTCTCCAAGAATTATATTGTACAAAAAATTTGAAGTAATAAAAATTACGTGGAATAAACAATTTTTTGTGTAATTCATTTTGAGACACCCTGTACATACGAACGACGATACAAATGCGTAAACAAGCGTAGGAAACGCGCGGACGCACTGTTGAGTAACGACGTCCTGTCAGAGGAATGTACCCGAAGAGAAGGAACGCGGAGAAAAATGCACAGAATCCATATATTTCGGCTCCTTTAATTATTTAATGGAGTCTCGGATTCGTGTTAACAGGCAGTATATCACCGTACGCGCGGTGCATTATCTGCTATCGGATGTCTCGGATAATGTGCGTTCACTAGTCTGTGAAATGATTATATACACCGCGTGTACGAAACTAAATTTACCAGAGAGACGTGGTTACGTAACAAATCATAAATCTCGCAGTCAGCGAGCGTACATAGCTGGAAAATCGAGGCACACCGAGCCACTCGTTGCAATTGCTGTTACATTCGTGTGGTACACTCTCATTCATAAGTATTAAAACACTTACCTAATATCAGGCAAATCTGAACAATCGTCACGAAACTATTAAGACTTAAAACGAAAAAAATTCTTCATCTTCTAATCAAGCAGTACAACGAGTACACACACACGCACACACATTTTGGCTAATGTACGCGCAGAAGTGTAATTTCTATCGTAGGACACTTGACGAATATAGCGGGTGTCCCGACACTTCTGAACAACATTGTACACTCGTGAGACGTTCACATGTGTGCCTGTATAAATACACATCGGTGCATCGAGTATGGATACGTAACACAGTCTGATAGTGTCCACGACGACGTTGGCGCTCGCCAACATTATGTTCGTCGTTGATGTCCTGTCACATGAGTCATGGTGTTTATCGGAGATTACTACAATTTATCAAGGCTGCCGTGGGCCTTGTCGAACCATTACAAAGTCTCTCCCGACCATTTTCTTCTCGAACAAGGATCGACGCCTGTCGCTGCCTCGTCGTTTCTTCGCAGCATCCCCGTTCTTCGAAACGATCCACCGAGTGGCTCGCCACACGGTATTGATCGGTAACGAAGCGAGATAAATAACAGGAGCACACGTGGATGTATGCAAACGAGGACGATTGTATATTACAAAGATAAATACGCGGATGGAAAGCACGGGATAAGGAAAGTTGTCGTCCGACGGCAGCCAACCAGATGCGAGCGATACACCCGTTTTTTTCCTCTCGGCGAATATTAAATCGCGATGCGAAATTACGATCACGCCGCAAAACGATGTCCGAGATGTGTATCGAGATATACATCGAGGTGATCACGTGAACGGAACGCTGCTCCTGAACCAATTATCGTCTTTCAAATATCCACAGAAGCATCGTGCGCGCTTCGGGCATCGGGGATGCAAATAATACGCTTGTTGAAGATCGAGCGTAGCGACAATATTCGTAGCCGTGTACCTTAACGGGCGAATCGTTAATTAACGATTCGAGTGCTAAACGCGGTTGGACAATACGAACAAATCACTTCGGTTTACGCGAGATCGGACGAATT